GACCACACTCATCGGCCCTACAACCTATGTGGCCCACTCTCAGAACCTTCAACATATTTGGTCTGCCCTCCTGGGGCTTCAGCTTATCTGGACCGTTCTCCGGGCTTTTGGCCTAACTGATATTCCCTAATGGGTCTGCAGTTTATCCTGTCCGCCCTGGGTCTGTTGGCCTTCAGCACAAAGCAGGTCCGCCTCAACCCAACCACACATATACAATGAACACATAAATATCATACGCTAGCTAGCATGTACAAACAGTCAAACCGATCTAACAGATCACTAATCATAACATCATCGCATGTACCAGGATACCGACCTGACCGGTAACTAACATAGCATCATCCTATATACTAGGATACCGACCTAATAGGTCACTAACATAGCATATCATCATGCAATAACCAGGATAACAATCCAAAAAGGGTCGGCCTTGGTGCCTTCGACCCTATTAGTATAGTGAGGACAACTCACCTCACAGGTAGTGTTGAATCACGAAGATCAAACTCCCGAATCACGGCTCCAAACTCAGACACCTATAATCACCATAGGACCAATTCCATCAAGACCCAAATTACCAAAATACCCTCATAACTCAAACTTGGTCAACCTTGGTCAAAGTCAAAGTCAACAGTCAAATCCAACATTCCATGTTGACCCGACTCGTTGAGTGCATCCACTGACTCGTCGAGTTCCTTAGAACTCAGAAAATGCAAAACCCAGAGTCAACTCGCCGAGCTGACAAACAACTCGTCAAGTCCAATTTGAGTCCAGAAGATCCGAAAAACCTTAACCAACTCGTTAACTTATCTATTCAACTAGCCGAGTTCGCTCAGAATCCATAAACTGGAAAACCCTCATTATCATGAAGGATTATAATATAGATGTAGGTTGATAAAACATATACATATGTATACCTTTTCTTGATTAATTAAAATGACATGATCCTTTGGCCATGCCACAAAACAACCTACTGCATCCTTAAAAATCTTGAATTATTACTTCCTATGTCTGGTATGCATGTTGCATTTACCAACGATTCTTGAATTAACAAATTATAGCAGGTTTCTGAGAGTGGTTTGTGATAAAGCATTTGCTTTCCATTTGTGATGTATACTTTACCAATAACAATCATTTGTGTCCTACTGTTGTACCACAATTTACACCTCATTTCCTATCAAATAACCAATATTGGTATATATGCATCCGAAAGGAATCAAATTAAATAATATATGAACATTTTGATGGATACACATACTTTTGGTGTTACTATTGGAGACACATTTGTTGCGATTGGAACTCTGAACTTGGAGACGTGTTTTGTTGTTGTTTTGGCATATTTATACCGGTCACATACTTTTGAATTTCCTATGTATATATAAAACACTTGAAAAAAGTTACGTATATATTTAAATTTCCTATGACAGGCATAAATAATTAATTAAAAGAGAAACCATTCCTTGTGTTTGTGCCATCTTGGTGTTCAAGTCCTTGCCTCTTCAAACTTTTTTTTGAATGACAAATACAAATATATACTAAATTACTTATAAATTATTTCACCTATGTCCACGGTGAGACTTGAACCCTCGACCTCATTCCTCAAGGAGGGAGAACAACACCGGATACCGCCGGTCTAGAAGCCCTTTGGTCTTCAAACCTCTTCAACTTTCATTTTTTCAAGTGATTATTTTTAGAAATTTGGTATAACTTGATTTTTATTTTAAACTTATGGCTATTTTAACTTTGATTTACGGATTTAATACAATTTCTTTTTATAGTTTCCATAATTTTTCGATCTCAATGAGGGAAGATAATACCGGATACCGCCGGGCTAGAAGCCCTTTGGTCTTCAAACCTCTTTAACTTCCATTTATTCAAGTGAGTATTTTTATAAATTTGGTATAACTTGATTTTTATTTTAAACTTAAGATTTTTTTAAACTTTGATATATGGATATGATACAATTTCTTTTTATAGTTTCCATAATTTTATATAACTTGATTAAACAAAAACTTTGATCTTTTAATTTTAACGTTTTTAATAATATTTTTAGTTTCGGTTGCATCTTTACATGTGTGATTCTTTTATAAATTTTCTAGACATTGTTTGCAATATTTCCTTTTTTTTTTTTTTTAATTTTCCTTTTTATGTTCTTTAAAAAAAAAAATTCTAGTAAAAAACTGATAGCTTCTTTTATTTATCATTTTTTTTTTGAAATTTGAAATTTTTGTTTTTTAACATGTTTTTTTAGTATTCTTTCAAAGATTAAAATTATTAAATTTCGATGTTGAAAAATATTTTCAGTTTGAAAACCAGTTTACTTAAATTTCTGTTTATTGTAGCAGTTTGCATATGTTAAAAATAAACAAATTTCGTATTACAAGCTACAACCGTTTGATCTACCTCTTATGGTGCAACGAATTACATAGGTGGTCTACAAACTTCATGATTTTTGTTTCGAAAACACAAACATCACCTTAGTATTAGTTCATACTTATAAAGTTTAATCATTATAATGTTTTTCTCAACTTTATTAATAATCCCAAAAGAAATATTGACTTATAGCCGATAAGAAAAAACCATATAAAATCGTATCGGATGTAGGATCCATTTGACATATATATATATATATATATATATATATATATATATATATATATATATATATATATATATATATATATATATATATATATATATATATATATATATATATATTGTTTGGAAAATCCACTTTAAACACCTCACAGACCTAGCCTAGACATCAATCACGTAAGTAGTCAATAAGTATAACGAGTATAACGACTGGTATTACTGAGAAATCTTATTTATAAGTTCATAAAAACGACTACGAATATAAATATAAGTTGTACGTAAAGCGTAGTAAGTATAACTCGACTTACACATTTACTAGCGAAGAACTCAAAAATCGCGGACATAACTTCGACATTGAACTCTTCTTTCTGTTGGTTTTCCATCACTGCATCGCTTCGCTAAAATGTTCGAGACTCAAAGATTTGGATCCGGAGGGTTTGCGAGAGATTTGAGAGAGAAATCTTAAGAGAAATGAGCAAGGAACGAGGGGTTCGGGTTGCTATTTATAGATTGTCTTCAAGAAGGCGCACCACGCTTTTCCAAGGGCGCACCATGCTTTAGCTTGGGGAGCACGATCTCCTTTGAGATGTCGACACTTGTTATCCATTCGAGAGTCTAAATTTATTATTTTTATTTTTTAAAAATCGCAACTTTCGCATATGAAATCTGTTTTCAATGGTTTTTATATCCCCATTTTCGTATCGATGAGTACTACAACTTTCATTTAGACTTTGTCGGCTAGTTCACAATTTATTTTTCGTTTTACAGTCTAAGAACACTTAGACTGTAAATAATGTTGTGAAATTCTTAACCTCTTCATACGAGCTTTGTTTTTATATTTTTTATATCCATGACTTCGTATCGATAAATACTACAACTTTCATTTAGACTCTATCTGTTAATTCTCAATTCTCATTCTATCTCAAATTTACAAATCTGTATCAAATTCGTTACATCTAAAAAGTAGGGACCAAGTTTCGTTTATATCTTCCGTATATGAGTTCTTTTCTCGACGTTATCTATATCAACGAATTCGTAATTTCAAAAACATCAACTTTCGTTTAGATAGTTTTGTCTAACGAGCGACTGATCTTTATTTTGTATTCTGTGACACATACTATTGTACTGTGTTGTTACAAAAATTATAGTTACCTCATACTTTTATGCATGATGTCATATTCACGAGGATTTTGACTTTTATTTACATTACTTTGGCTAAAAAGTAACATAACTCCAATTTACTTGTTCCGACAAATATTATCGTATCAGGTTGAACGCGAAACTTAAATAAATCATAACTTACTCATACGAAATCAGATTTGAACGTTTTTTATACCACATGATTGTCATTTCGACTACTACAACTTTCTTCAAGACTATATATCATAAATAATATTTTAATTTTACACTTATATTTAATACAATTCGTTAATTGTATAATAATGTTTTATACAAATAATATAAGCCCATAATATTTTTCCATAAAACATGTTCACAATATGTAAATATCATTTATATAATCTGTATCGCGTACGGATGATTTTTATTTATTTACGATTATCCTATTTGTGGATTTAATTGTTTGATAAAAAAATTATTTATAATTTATAAACCTTAAAATATCTAGCCCAAATTAACATGCAATACAACACGATAATCAATGTCAATGAACTTAACATATTAAAACTCATTAGAAATCAATCTTAAATTTTTAGGGAATTCAATATCTAGTATAAAATAATAAAGCTTTGCAAACTTCTCTTATATAAATCTTTCAAGAAAACTAAAACATTTGTTAAAGTCCATACATGCAAAATGGACATTTTCGAACATATGATGTATACCATATAAGTAGCAAAATGGTTTGTTGATGAAGATTCCTCGAAAATGAAGATCGATTTTGATGTATGTTGCCATCATCACGAAGAATGTTTGAGAAACAAGTTTATTTTTTATTTTTTTTATCTTTTTAAGGAACAAAAAAAGTTTGTCTAATTTAAGTAGATTTGAATTAGACAAATTACAATGATGACCGGACAAAAAATCATCGGCTTACCCGTTTATTTACTTAATTTTTTAAACTCCCAAATATGAACTTAGTTTCCTTAAAATACAAAAAGTTGAGTAATCTTCTAAAACAAATGAAAAGATTGAGTCATCTTCTAAAACAGCTTAGTTTCCTTTTATGAGAGTATCCCGAAATGTAATTGTTTGTTATTTTTTTGTTAAGAAAAACGAAGTAGAGATTTTCTTGGATTAATAATTTTTTAGATTTTCATATTACAAATTTTATTAAAATAAGTCAATAGTTACGATTTTGAAAAAAAAAAAAAGAGATCAAAAAATAAGACAAAATATACCCGCAATTTAAGTTGAAAGCGCAGCCTATATAAACTCAATCCAATAAACGCCAATACCCAAATCTCACCGAGTCCACCCATTCGGGGACTCGATTCTTCCTCTACACGCTTCGCTTCCATCTCTCAAACCCTAGGGTTTATGTTTTCAACTTCAATCAATCACAAACTCTACTTCACTCACAAATCTTTCCACCAAATTCATGGGTTCTGAATCAATCGCAGCAGTCACTGTTTCCAAGTCATCTTCGTCCTCTGGTGAAAAGTGCTTCCCTCCTGGTTTCCGGTTCCATCCGACCGATGAGGAACTGATTCTGTACTATCTGAAAAAGAAAATCTGCGGTCGATCACTCAAGCTTGATGTCATCGGCGAAATTGATGTTTGTAAATGGGAACCAGAAGAGTTGCCAGGTATATACATACATACTCTTGTACTTTATACTCGTCGTTTGCTGTTTATTGATACCACGAATTGATTTTTAGATTTCTTTGATTCTGTAATCACCAAGTTCTGTTTATTCTTTTGAGTTTTGGAATGGTTAATCATTCGTTACTTATCATACCTAATTTCCAAATGCAGGTAAAGCTAAATGGAAAACCGGTGGTTCTTTTTTACTCATCGCGATAAGAAGTATTCTAATGGAGGAAGATCAAACAGGGGGACAAAACACGGTTATTGGAAAGCCACCGGAAAGGATCGTCTCATTAAGCACTACTCACGCACAGTTGGATTAAAGAAAACTCTCGTTTTTTATGAAGGCCGTGCACCCTCTGGTAAACGCACAGATATTGGGTGATGCACGAGTACTCCGTGGAAGAAGAGGAGCTCAAGAGATGCAAGAATGTACAAGAACACTACACCCTTTGCAAAGTATTTAAGAAAAGTGGACCAGGTCCCAAGAATGGTGAGCAGTATGGTGCTCCCTTTGTTGAAGAAGAATGGAGCGATGATGACAACTGTTTGGATGTTGAATCACTTCTTGTGAAGAACGTCAATACTTCAGTCGATCAGCCTAAGTTAACTTGTGAACCTGAGATTGTTCAACCACTGGCTCAGTCTAATCCAGTCAACAGTCGCCATGAACAGTTAGAGGTGCACCATGGTTCTGATTTGGCCCAGTCAGCAAAAGAACCATCAGTGATCACTTGTTTGGAGGAGGTGCCACTGCCACTGCCACTGCAACTGCCACAACCTTTGGTGTTCAATGAAGATTTTCTTGAACTGGATGATCTACAAGGTCCACAACCATCTTTTCAAAGCTCAATGTTTGATGATTTTCAGTTTGGTGGTGTTGATGAGTTTTGTGCACTTGAGTTCTACAATAATGCAACCGAGTTCAACGAAGTGAATCCTTTCAAATGTCAACCATTTTACACGAGTAATCTTGATTTTGGAATAGAAAACTCTGGTCTACATTCATATTCAAATGATTACAATTCCAGCCTCTGGACACACAACCAAGAAACTGAAGACTCAACTGATGTCACCATTTTTGCTCCTTCAGGTACTGAATTTGCTCCAAACTATGGAGGCGACACATTCTGATATGCAAGGCTTGTTTATCAATCATTGACAGTGTTTGACATTGAAATGTAAATAAATTACGATTTTAGACT